ATTAAAAAAAACGACTCAACACGTCTTTATCGTATTCTTGACTTTTCTTGCTTTCTTTGATCTTGCCAGATTTAGCTCTTTATTAACTTTTTTTATTTTCCAAAAAATAAAATTAAAACTCAAGACGGTGTTTTGATACAGCTAATTCGCGAAATGTTTAGCGCGATTTGAGACAAAGTTTTTCAAAGAATATTTGAACTATGGTATATGAAAGCTATATTGTTGTACAAATATAAAATTTAAATTTTTACAATTTTAATCCTGTTTCTTTTTATTTGGACGTATTATGTAATAAATTATATATATATATATAGTATTATATATTATATAATTTATATATGTATATTTATATAAACACATTTTTAAATGTCATTGAAAATATAGATTAAAAATTAATAATTAACAATAAGGAATATAGGCGTTAGTTAGTTTTATTTTATAAAATATCACATTTTTAGAAAAAAAAATTATATTTTACAAAAAATAATGTTACTAATTTAACATATATTGTATAGTATATATAATAATAAATCAAATATTGAATAAAGAGTTTATTTATATTTCTGTATATGATCTTTGAAGCATGAAGCATGCGCATGAAATACAATATACAGTTACAATAACAGTGCTTTAACTTTTCTATTCTACAGATAAGTAGAACAGATTATATTCACAGTCGCAACTTCATTCATCGTGATATTAAGCCAGACAACTTTCTGATGGGTTTGGGAAAGAAGGGAAACCTCGTCTATATTATAGATTTCGGATTAGCTAAAAAGTATCGCGATGGACGCACACACAAGCACATACCCTATCGAGAAAACAAAAATCTGACGGGAACTGCCAGGTTGGTTGTATTGATAATTATAATAATATAATTATCATTTGTATAATATTATATTCGTATAATATCACTTTGACTAATTCATTTATTGTGATTACAGATACGCGAGTATAAATACGCATTTAGGAATTGAGCAGTCACGACGGGACGATCTTGAATCTCTGGGCTATGTCCTCATGTACTTTAATAGAGGTAGTCTACCTTGGCAGGGCTTAAAAGCAGCAACAAAGAGACAGAAGTATGAACGCATTTCCGAGAAGAAAATGTCTACTCCTGTAGAAGAGCTTTGCAAAGGTTATCCTGGTAAGTTTTGTTTATAGATAATAACATGCATTACATACACAAAATATTTCAACAATACAGAATCCCTGAATATTCTTTTAATAATTCTGCATTGATCATTTTTTAAATAATTCTTTAAGATATATATATATATAT